AACCTAATTTGCCTCAAGGTACAGTTCTGTATCTCTGACTGCTATTCCGTCCGATGTTACCACATATTCCAGGGGCAGGAATACAATAACTCTTCAATTTCATTTTTACTGCTAACATCATTAAAAACCGTATTGGGTAATACTGAACAGAGTACCCTAGGGTACTTCAGAGAAGACTGGTTATATTTCTTCTTTCCAAATAATTTGTTTTCATATTTCTTAAATATACATCTTTAGATAAAAAAAAAAAGCATTTGATTTTTTTTTTTCGCGATCTTTTGACGAAAAAAATATGTTCACAATTTCTTGCGAATTTATTTTATCCTGGTCCCGATTATACTAACTTTATCACAAACATATTCAATTTTACACAAAATCAAAATAATGTTGATTATTTCAAGGAAATCGCAACACATAGAAACCAATTCACAATTTTAAAAAAATAGCTATGAAATACATTTTTATAAATCAAGAAATAACCCAAGAGAATTCCAAGCATAATAAATATATAAAATACATATGGCGTTTTCACGTGTTCTAATGCTTAATTGATAACCAGAATGATATTACTTTTGAAAAAAAAATCAATCATTAATTAATATTCTTCGCAACTGGTCAATTAAATTAGACTGGGATCGTACGAGATAGAAACTGAGACCTTAATGTCTGATGATACGTTCCTCGAATATATGTTATTGTATCGCTTCGTATATGACCAAAACTATTTATCATTATCTTCTGATTTCTAAACTTTTTTTTCAAAAGTCCAGAAAAAATATACTATCAGCAATTCAAGTGATTATAAAAGTAATATCATCTGGAATCTGCACAAAAGACTGGTAATGTACCTCAATTTTTTGTGAGGGATCTTCTTAAAGAGGCAATACTTCACTAATAAATTCTTGGAAAAAATTCTATATTATTGAGGAATGTATTGTCTGGCTTTGAATGATAAACACTGTTAAATTGATATAATTCCTAAAATAAAGAGAACAAAGAATTTTATTTTAATTTCATTTTTATTTATTTGGTTACACTGAAGTTTAAACATTCACAAAGTACTACTTATTGACATTTCTCTACTCAGCAGTGTTAAGTACTCAAAAGTAGTACTGTTCAGTTTCTAGGATTCTTCACACTTTTGTGACAAACCCTTGAGAACTGGCATTGATTATTTAATCTCTACCCAGAGTTATCGTTCCCGCTACGTTCCACTAACACTTGTTGTAGCTTAGCGTAATACGCCCTCTGGTGAGAGATTTTTGGTTATTATTCATCGGGATCTCTCTCTCTCTCTCTCTCTCTCTCTCTCTCTCTCTCTCTCTCTCTATATATATATATATATCTCAAATATGTAACAAAACTCCTGTTATCCTGAAATAAGCGGAACTCATATCCATAACTGCTCTGTAAATGATTGTCATTATACAAGATTATAATTGTTGCAGGAAAATAATAACGTTGTAAAAATAGCATGATTACCATTGGTGAATTTATATATATATATATAGGGAAAAATGATAATACGGGGGTACGTTGTGGTACATTGTCGCTTTCCAGCTCGTACGGATGTGTATACATGTACATATCATGTGTATAACTTGTATATTCTATGTTGATTGCGCCGATGTTTTTTTGGACATTCGGATTATTACACACCTCAGTCAGGATAATCACAATAAACACAAATAGGTTTTCCCCAATGTGCTTGCGACTAATAATTGAATAGCCTAGTATAAATCATTAACATTTGCATTAAAAAGAATTTGTACATTTTTTAATATAATAAAATTACCAGAAAAAAACTAAAATATAAACAAACAAACAAAAAACATTAAAAGCATAATGATTATGATAAAATGATGAGAAAGAAATGTGTTTGACTTTTTTGAATAACTAACCCCTGTTTAAGAAATCGAAGTAGATTCCTCAAGGCAAAAGTCCAAATTGAATCAGAATATTGGAAGGACTATTACCTTATTTCTTAGAAAATAGGTAAAACTGATACTTTTTGAACTACATTGTAAGTTGTAATAAAAGTATTTAATATTTTTTTAAAATATATATTTTTATTGAAATTAAGCTGCTGCACGTGGGGGAATCGTAATTATAATAATGATAAGAAAGATAACTCAAGTTTAATAAAGAAAGATAACTCACATTAAAACTCATCATACAGAGTCAGTTTTTTGTTTTTGTTTGTTTTTTTTTAAATATACTTCTCCATTTTAAACGACATCTGTATTTTTTATGCATTTTATCATGTTTATACATGAGTTAAACTCATTGAGTTTTGATATGGAACAATGCATGAATCGTGTATATGTTTATTCGCTACTTGATTTTGAAACGTAATTTATTTTAATGTCGATCCTATATCTCTTTGACTGGATAATTTCCTGAATTTGAAAGTTATAAATAAAAACATACCAAGTGCCACATAATATACATGACGTAATTTATATGGAAAGACGTTTCAATCCAAATTTTTCTGCTTTTATGAAACGTTCAAAGCGAAATATATTCTAAATTCACATACTTGTAAGTACATTTAATTTAAAGGTCTTATTTTGACCCTTTAAAAAATTAAAGAATTTAGAATATTAGGTGTTAGTACTTCTAAGACGTACGCTTAATCTCAACAAAATATTTCATTCTCAGACAAACTGCAAATTATTTCAGAAAAAAGAAACATCTACATTGTACTTAAGGTATTCAATGTATAATGGATGGATTTTGAACAATTTTGAATCATTCAAAACTATATGCATTGCTAGATAACGATGAAAGGGAAATGAACCAAATTCACATGACTGATAACATGAAAGAAGCTGGTCAGTTAGCACTTTAGAAGTTTTTGAAGAGTTATCTGCCCTTGATGGAAAAAAAGAAAAAAATTATTGTCAAAATATAGATCTGTGGTAAATGATTCATTTTATTTCATATTATAATAAAGAGAGAGTTTATGCATATTTTCACCAAGAGAGATCTATATGAAATTCAAATTACTTTTTACAATATCTTAATAAAACCTGCGCTGCCCATGGACTTTGAACAATGTAAAATTCAAGGTGCAATTTATTTGACAATAATCAAAATTTTGTTAATTCCTTTGGTGGAGTATTTTTATTTAATAATACCTTCAAAATGCTGCCATGATTAAAAATATCGCACCATTTATTCATTAGGAACAAATATGGTCGTTATACATTGAATACCTTACCAGATAATAATCTACAACGGGGGAAGTCACACAGTACTAGGTAACAGGTTAGCTGTTAAAGCAAGCAATATTAGTAGGGTTGTGTCAAGGCTTTCCACTAGGAAGGGGAGGGGGGCATGGTAAAAAATATTTTGAAAAAAGGTGCTGTATCATCTGTTTTTATAGTGTTTAATTCTACATTGAAATAAAACTTACTAGAATATTCATTTATTACTCTTAACCCTTTTTTGCAGACATAATGTATATTTTTGGCATGAGATTCTTTGACCAATTTTAGGAGAGGGGGGAGAGACAGGCGAGCGTGCCTTCTCAAATCTTCAACTGAATTTTGTGAAATGAAGAGAACTATCTGGGAGTTTACTAATCAGATTCGATTTCCACAACTTGTTCAATAATTTAATAATGCATTTTAGCGGACAAGAGTACCTAAGAAAAAACTCTAAGTAGAGATTAATAATATGTGCCAATGTTTTTCTCGATTTAGACTCAAGTTATAGAAGTTTGGCAATACGATTGACCGTGTAAATGCACTTGCGTTCATTATTTAATCACCAATCCTCTTAAAAAAGAAAAGATTTCACTCAACGTAAAAGATATTTTTACAGTGCATGTACATATTGTGTATTTCTTCACTCTTCTGGCACACAATCAATGTATCGAGAATATTTAAGTAGAAAATCCAAGACAAAGTGTTTAAACCAACAGTGATTTGGCATTAATTCGCGTGTTAGACCCGGTTTTCTCATAATCCGTTTATGTTTAATTTTGGTATTGTTCCCCCTGACCTGAATTTAAAAATTTTAATTCAATACTAGAGCGAGACCTGATCAGTTCAAACGTCGTAATGGTAAGAAATAATCTTTTTAAAATTCTAAATTTCAGAAAACTTTAAATATTTCAAATTCATTTTTTGAAATAGCGCAAATTATAGAGCCTCCTTATAAAAAAAAGTCTTAGACAAGTATGAAAGAAAGACTACACAGACGATTAAAAGTATAAATATGTAATATCTTAATTTGCATTTTTAAAATAACCTGACTGAATACAGAGAAAAATATCTCCCTGTTATTTTTCCTCTTTTTTCAAAATAAAATAAATCGGTGAAGTGTTTTAAAATTTTAATGGATAAGAAACATAAAGAAAGCGGGGGGGGGGGGGGGGATTTACGAAACATGATACAATGTTGAAAATAATAAAAATGAATAAAATATATTATAACTTTGATAGTTTCTATCAACTTATGACGTGTGAAAATGTAATTTTTAAAACAAATAAATTACGGAATAAAAATGAGAATTTTTAGGACTTGGTTATATTGATAATGACTTTAGATTGGTTTTACCTCCTCTGTTCATTGTTGCTAAGAAATAACATCAATTTATTTATTTACTAGTATTTATCTATTTGATTATTTCTTTTTCTTTTTTTTTTTTTTTTTTTGGTTACGGGATGCGTTTATCAAATTGATGAATACATCAATGTTATTGTTTCTCTGTACAATTTTCATAGTCACAATCACCTTGAAAAACTGCACAGACAATTTTGTTCGCAACATTTCGCTCGCATATTTTATTAAATAAATACATGATGGGAAATACCTATTCATGTTTTCCAATTTTAGAAAAGACAAATACACATTACAGATGATGTGATTTTCTTTTCTCACTAATCATCCAAATATTCGGAAAACGCGTTACAAATTTGTCCTTTTTTGTGGCGGGAGGGGATGTTTGAGGGTGGTAGTGTTGGAGGCTAATTAATCTAATCTTTGTTGTAGGCGTGCTTCCTCCCCGGTGGGGCCCGGGTCCTTGTTGTGGTGACTTTGATTGTGGCTATAGCAAATGGACAGCTGTTCACTAACCACCGAGGACGTAAGAACATATTAAAATGCTATCACCAATTATACATGTTTAGGAATTTGAATGCTTCTCGTATATTGCATTTTGAGAGACAAAGATTTTAAATATAAGCTGACAAATTGTTAATTGGCTTTTGCAATGAGACTTTTTAAGCTAAGCATAAAAATCTAATTGTAAAAAGATTCTGTTCTTTCTCAGCTTGGAACATAGTCTTCAAGCTTCCACACAATAACAAACCCAGTGGATACAACAGCATCATCGATTTATGGAAAGCTTCTGGTCACATGAACGGCGAAGATGTTGATGCTATGACTGACTTCAGTACTTCCTCCAAGATTTACAAATCAAAATGGCTCGACGACTGGGAAAAAAGAAGCTTCTCAGCGGTAAGAGAGAGTGAAAAATTGGAGTGATAAGTTTTAAAATTTTATACAGAAAGGCAATTAGATACAGGAGTTGTTTGATTGTCAACGGGAATTCCGCTTTAACATCGTTAACTTCCTCTATTTAGTAGTGACATTCCACTGTCACCTATATACGAGTGCATGCATGTTGTTTATGTCTCCCAACCGATTTGGTACGCACTTCCAAGTACGATCAATTTTTAAACCGAGGCAGGTTATTGACAAATAAGTTGAAGTTACAGGGCTTTCAACAATATTGTTTAAAGTGAACATTTTGCCAATTCTATGATCGTTATAATGATCTTGTTTGTAAATACACGACAACTTATCATTGGATCGTATTTTGACTGACATATTTCATACTAATTGTTAGGCCATTGTCTTTATATAAGTTTGAGGGTCCGGTAAGCAAGCCCTGCAGTGCGATTCGAACCTGTGACGTATGGATCCACTGCTTACTCAGCGACTCTATAACGAAACACTCTAACCACTGCATCAGTAGGGAGACAACTGAAGTTCATATACCAAACCTCTGATGATCTTATACTGAGAATTATCAATTCAAAAGTAAAATGAGCATGAAGCTTGAGAAATTCCTCTAAAGTGTTTATATCTATTTAAAGTTCTATCCTTACGTTATTTAATAATCATCGGCTGTACCTTTGTAACTATAAGTTTCTTCCTGAAAAAAAAAAATTATTAAGCATATATTTTTACAGTGTAATTTGAGTTTTATCTGACTCTCAATAGATATCAATACAAACGATTTCAAGCAAGTAGTATTTTTTTTTTCTTTCGGACGAAAAGTTTCATGCATGTCAATGAACAAAAGCAATAGGTAAGGCCAAGTGCCTTTGAGAACGACCATTTGATTCTGAGGGGAGGGTGGGGCTGGCAGATTTGGGAAATAAATAAACTGCCAGCAGTCTCGGAAATGTTGAAAATAAATAATTTGATCCCAACTGGCAAGAAAAAAAAATAATCTGACATTGATTGTTAACCCCCCGCCCCCCCCCCCCCCCCCCAAACACACGAAATAGAGTTTTGGATACTGAACATTGTCCCTTTTTTATTTTCCATAGAAGACGAAAATAAATACATGTAATCTGTTCTTGACTGGCATTAAAATAAATAATCTGACCCGAAAAATGCCCCCCTTTTCAGAATCAAATGGTCGCCCCCTTAGAAGAAAATGATTGGCATCGCTCATCCATCAGAACGTGTTCAAAACCATGAAGGGGCGGTTGATTAATGCCGTTTGTTCGGGGAGAAAAATGGAGGAGAGATACATGTACACTCCCTCAATTCCCTGCACATCTCTGAGTTCCAACGCATATACCTCTCCCCCCCCCCCCCTCCCGAAAAAAAAATCCCTGCACAGCTCCGGGTCCCAACGCATATATACACGTATGTAACGAAGAGCTCACGATTTCAAATACAGTAAAACACGCGTATAGTGAAGTGCCAGGGACAAGCAATTTCGATTCTTTATGAACGTAATTCGTTATATCCATTAAGCTTTCGATTCTTTAGGAACGTAATTCGTTATATTCATAAAGTTAACATTAGATTTTAGATTACAGGGATTGAAAATCGCTTCGCTCTAAGTGTTAATTCATTATACATGTAAGCGTGTTCGCTATAACCGCGCTTTACTGTAACTGCAATTAAAAAAAAATCACCGGGCGTTACCATTGTTGGTGCTATTGTTCCTTGACAAGCATAAAATTTTTCGCCTAGGGGAAGAATTTTATCACTAGTTTGAAATCAATTGTATCATGCAAAAAGCTACTTTACAGTGTTACTGTAATACTAGAAGTACCTTAATTTATTGATTAAAAAAAGTTTGCACTAAGCGTCAGCTTCAAGAAAAAATGGTTTGTGAATGATTCCCTCTCTCCTGAATCTGATGTTACCTATTTACACATCAGTTATAAATTACATAACCTATTTACAAATCAGTAATAAATTACATGTACAGAGAGACGGAGAACTTCGAGAGATCGAAGTTCGAGCCATCGAAAATCACGTGTAGTTTTAATACATGTATATGCAGGCTTCATTTTATATTTAAGCTATATGTACAATACTGCATTTTAGCCAGACTTCTATGATATCTTATTTGAAGTAAATATTTCTCTTAAAAGATTCTATAGCATCTCTGCACAGTCTTCAAATTCGACTTGACACGAACATTTATTTTCAGTCAAAAGACATCACGATCTAAATATTGAATAAAAGAATTGTGCTCGCTCGGTCCAGGGTCAAGGTCTAATGATTTAGATAATCAATAAAAATATATTATAGAATAATGATTGGTTTTGTTGATATCTTAGTTATCCCTATATATTTAAGTTATATCCTCGAAATGCGGACGCTCCCTGAATTTGTGTATCTGAAAGTTTAAAAGGATTGTGAAAAAAAAGTACGAGTTAATAGATCATAAATTATTTTTAAAGCGAAAGAAAAAAAAAAACGTAATCTCGTTTATGTGAGGGATTAGGTTAATCTTGTATTAGCCTCAGTTACACACAGAAAACTTATGAAAGGCACCTTTGTCCTTTATTATTTGTACCATTGAAGGTTTCATGCAGATGGTTCAGAAATAAAAAGTAGAAACAACAACAATAATAAATAAATAACAAGTAGACAACATCACTTATACAACTTACCTATATGTCCTACGATATACATATTTCTTTTGAATTCCAAAACCAAATCGTATGAATTTGGCACCATGTCAAATTAAGCAACGAACTTTTGATATAGCAATTCTTGGAATATGATGTAATCTCTATAAATACTTATTTCAAGACTGTTATAGATAAGTTTAACTTGATAAAGTCTAAACTTTTAATGTAACACTTACATGTACATGAAGAACTGACTCCATGAAGGATGAATTTCAATGACAGTGATAAACATTTGAAACATATGAGCTGTGGGACCCAGTATCGTTACGAAGGAGAACTGTTATGGTCACTCGCGCTCGTTACCTCGGTTTAAGGATCCGATGTATTCTCTTGTCGGTCATTTTAACCGAACTTCTCTTGTTTTATCCATCAAAATAAGTATATTTTTGCCCCCTATCCCTGTTTTCTAGTCATATTTTGATTCTAAATATTTTTACTAAATTTTTTTTTAGTCTTGTAAAGAAATTTTTGAAAAAAAAGTTTAATTCTAGATAATAAGTTTTCCGAAACGTCATTTTTTTCATTCAAGTCCATGAGTCTGGTTTCCCGCCATATTAATTTTCAAGACCTTGAATCTCAAAAATATGTCCACTAACTCATATTTTCGAAACATGACTTCACAAGACAAAAAACAAATGCTGTTATGTGTTGGACAAAAAAAAATGAATGAATAAGTCAACTATTTGAAGAATGTCTTATATGTGGTACTGGGGTTCATACAGCCAGACAACACACCAACGCGCAATCTACAGAACGAGGGAGCGGAAACGCGAGGTAATAACGAAATAAGAATTGAAATTGTCCGCGAAAGTTACTGAAGAATCTACATGTATTATCCCTATAACCTAACTAAAATTACACATGACACTTTTATAAGAATTTCCTAATGATAAACAATTATATCATCAACAGGGAAAGATATATCAAAGATTTTTCTTTAAATAAAAACTCAAAAGAGCGAGATATATATGTACTACATTGTAGTATTTAGTAGTGCAAAAACTAGATAACTATGCAGCATGTTTGTCCTTGTTTGCAGGTTCGACTGTCTGCCTACAAAAACAGCAAGGAGGTGGCCTTCATTACATTCAACAGTATGGGCAAGGGGAAAAATGAATGGCTGGATTGTAACAACATCATCGACTCCTCATACACCGACGTCACATCCCAATCCAAAAACTACTGCTTAATGGAGTAAGTCAATAACTAACTATATATCTTATTAAAGCTTTGGTATAGAAATTGAATTCTTTGTGTTGGTACGTTATAGAAAGTTATCTGCATGCACAAAGAGTCCAAAATAATTATTTATTACTGATTATTCTACTGATACATAATTGTAAAAGTTATCATTGTTATGTATTTTTATAACACGATTTCATCAATTTGTCATCCCGTCTGTGTTCCCACGACGTCCATGCATGTAAAATTAATTGTGTATACTGCTAAGTATCCCCAAGCAAGGAAAGGTAATTCAAACGTTTTTAATGCAACAAACTTATAAGCATATTATAAGATAAATCTAATCAAAAAAGATAGGTGAGCTGGCGCTGTAGCCATGTTTATACACAGAAGTAGGGTGTCTTAATACAGTATGATGAATTCACGCAGGAATTGCGCATGACAATTCATAAATAGAGTCAGGAAAGTGCTTTAAGCATTACTTCGTTCACTGTTTTATAAGATATAATTATGTTATAGAAGATACAATTGTTTTTAAGAAATCAGTGGAAGCAATGGGCAGGTGGGCTCCTACAAGTTTAAATATTCCAGGACTTACGTAGAAGCTCATCTTAAAATACAAATTAGGCGTTTATTTACACAATTTTAACTTACAACAGTGATGTTTCTTATCACATTACTAAAAATTTCGCGATTTCTCCCATATTATAAAAACTATTCATTGTGATCCAATGTTACCAAAAAATAAAAAAAAAAACATGGAGAAAAACACTATAGGATTGACTATATAAATTATTTTGTTTATTGAGAAATGAATCTAAAAAACGATTCGCACACTTTATGAAAGCCGAAGGCTTTCATAAAAACGTGTGCGATTCGTTTTTTAGATTCATTTCTCGATGAACAAAATAATTTATATAGTCAACGCTTATAATTAAATTTCAGCGGAAAACATGTTACTTTTCATGTACATACCACAGGCACTTGTTTCATATGCGGGGCACCCCTACTTATTTTTACCACAAGGTACCTAATTCAATTTCAGGCACCCTCGCTTCAAGCTCGTATTTTGTTTATATATCAATCATTAACCTACTTTAAAATGACATCGTTCGCTTCGAAAGACTCTTTTCTTGTCAAATTAATCGTTTCGGACGTATCTGGTCGAGCCTCTTTATTGTAAACCACTCATTTCTTCCTCGAAAATTATCTCGATACAAAATAAGACTACGAATCGGATACATTGACTTCCGGTTGGGTTATAAATGTAGGATAAATCCAGAGACTTACGAGTATTCCTTTCCGAGGTCTCTGGTTTTATCCTTGATATATAAACAAAATACGAGCTTGAAGCGGGGGTGCCTGAAATTGAGTTAGGTACCTTGTGGTAAAAATAAGTAGGGGTGCCCCGCATACGAAACAAGTGCCTGTGGTACATACTCATTATAAATTGTGCACGAAATTTACATGCCGACAGCTGCGTAGAACTATTACACGATTCTTGGGAGCGGATCTAAAAGCCTGTAGTACACAAGGCGGGTATAATTTTCTTTTAAATATTATAGAAATGAAAAATTCCCCGTTATGTTTAATTGTCTTTATAATGATTTACTAAATTATCGATTACGTAAGTTATGAAAATCTGCACGTGCAATTTTTAAAAGCGATTGCACTTAAAGCAGGCAGAAACTTGCTTTGTTGTCAGTAAGCAATAGGTCAACGGTAACACGTCGAGTGGAGTGCAATGGAATATTAGAAAGAGATATCTTCAGGTTAAAAAAAAATATCTAGAAATAAACTTGCTTGTCGATACACCTTAATACACGTACAACTTGATTGACAATTAACATGGTTAATACCCTATTACCCTGTATAAAGTTGATGTGCAGACGAAATAAATAACAATCACATCAGGAAAACTTAGTCTAAGGTCCTTCTTATCATTTAATTTTATAACCTACTTAATATTTTATTTTCTTGTTTGGTTTTTAATTTGTACTAAATTCAATGTAAGTTCTTTCTTTACAAATAAAAAACGCAAATCACGTGCTTCTTTACAGAGTTATGTCCCTTGCCCTCCCCGGCATTACCCATTGACAACAATTACCTTGCTTAATAATTTATTTGAATATTTTTCTTTTCTCTACTCAACAAGAATTTTAATTGTATAATTTAAAAATAGAAACGTATGATTAAAATATTTTCTTTAAAGCACACAGAGAGAAACTAAAGATTTCCAGAAGCTGAATTTAAATCATGAAAAGAACATTATCATACGTTATAGTTTTAGAAACTATTAGTTTATAACACACTCGCGATATAACAGCTGTTGGAATGACAAACATTGACAATAACTGACTCAAAACGAATAACGAAGGGTAGTCCGGTTACTACAATTGACATTTAGTCGCCCGCGTGGCGCAGTGGTTAGAGCTCTAGAGTCGCGGAGTAAGGAGTTGATCCTTACGTCGCGGGATCGAATCCCACTGTGGGACGTGGAGACCGGTCCTTCGGATGAGACCGTATAAACCGAGGTCCCGTGTCGCAGTAGGTGGTGGCACGAAAAAGATCCCTCACTGCTCAATGGCCTTAAGTGCCGAATATAAGACAAAATTTGCAGCTCTCCACCGGCAAGTGGTAGCATCTCCATATGAGTGAAAAATTCTCGAGAGGGACGTTAAACAACATACAAACAAACAAACAATTGACATTTCATTCTTCGGAAAAAGAAGAGAAAAATTCTTCGTAGAAACATATTAGTTCTAAGTGATGAAAGGAAGAAAAATTGAATTATTGTTTGATGAATTTAAAGACTTCTTAGTGAATCGTCAAGGTACGACTGCTACAGAAACTGAAAAAATATACATATTAACAAAATTATCGCTAATTAATACACTTTGTCTTTACACAATTCAGTTACAACAGTAACTCTGAGAGAAACTTCTTCGTCAATCATGATTATGGCGGCTGTCCAAGCGACCAGGGTTGGTTTATGATGAAGGACTTTAATGCCCTCAGCGGATGTTCCGAATGGGACGCGGTCACGGGAAAACCTTACTTCCTGTATGCTGGAGGTACCACTATGGTGAACTGGGCTACCGGTATGTCATTAAAAAATTAATATAGATTGCATGCATATGTTTATGAAATTTTATAGTATTCTCTCGAAACATTGCCAAATGATTTGGCTAAGAAATGTAAAGGTCAATGGGATAATTGAACAAAAAAATTATACAATAGTATTTAACAATGTTGTCATCTTAGAGAAAATGAATTTCTGTCTGTATTTATTTTTACAGGTAACAAACAGACAGCTGACTGCATGGTCGTTTCTGTTATGGGTGAGTCCTAGAGAATTTCAGTAGGTGCCACTGTTAGGGGATGTTAACCTTGATTCATTTCAAAAACAGTAAAGAAAAAAAAAATCATAAAAAAGTAATATTAATAATAAATTACGCTACCAAGCATGACTTTGCAAAAATTACATAAATATTTCAGCTAAGACACGTTTTAAACCGAATTGGACTTGGAACTATTTTCAGCTTGGGACATGGTGTTCAAGGCTGTACAGGGCGTTGTTCCTCCCCAGGGAGGACTCCGTCAGTTGTGGACTTCCAGCGACACTCTGAATAGCGATAATCCCACAGCACAGACACTGACCCGCGCCCCTAATCTGGTCTACAAGTCAGCAAACGTAGAGAAGTGGCAGAGCATCCCGGGATTCTTTATTGAGAGCGTAGGGTTTTCCCGTGTTTCACGGATTTATAATTAAGTTAAACAATAAAATCCCTTTTTTTGTTTTCTAGAGAATGGTTACAGAAAAAAATATACAGAACCCTCATAAGCAGGTTCTGAATTTTTTTCTACAATGACTACAATCAGTTACAATCAGTTACCCCGTATAGCAAAATAGAAACCTTTTATTTCTGCCTTTGTCTATTCTAATAAAGTTGGTGAAAATATGTCAATTATAAATATTGTATTTTCGATCTCGCAAAGATGTTAATATTTTAACATAACTGAGAAACTGCATGATCTGTACAACTTCCATTATTATACGTGTTACATACAAAGGACCCCCCCCCCCCCCCCCGAATATATACCCCAGTTCGAAAGATACTTTTATTTGTCTTCTTTCATAAATTATTCTTCTGGCACGCATTTACAAAGTATTCCATATGAAAATCGAAAATATAACGTAGAATAAACGTTTTATTTTTAAAATAATTTTTACCCGCGGTGAAGGCAAGTCACTTCGGTTTCTTTACAATGGACCCCTTTTGGATATCATTTACCAACTTCATGTCACCAAAATATGTCATCGTATCTTGTCTTAAATCATGCTATTATATCGTCCATACATTCCACTACAATTCGACTATGCATCGTCAAACATGAAATGCTACAAAATTTTGAAATGTCAAAGCAGAAATTAAGGAATTTATGCGAAAACCACAACTAGCGGGTGACTCGAGAGTTCCGATTGTTACTGAAGTCAAGAAAAAAGCCTGATCGTCTACGAAAAAGTTCGGGGAAAATTCAATTAAAAAACGAAGTTGATTCATAAGAAACTGATTTTGCTGCAGGTTTTCGAGCTAATTGAGGGCAGTGGTCAATATTCTATTAAAGGACTTCACAACTGATGCCAAATAGAATATACATGTATATATATATATATATAAACTTTCTTAAGCATTATAAAGCATGCACCCCTTTTGCATGGACAAGCAAATATTTTCGATTATAATGTGCTGTGTGTAAATTTCAATATTCTTTTACTTAACAATGTTTGTCATTTTGAGCCACCACCTGCCGGTGAAGGGCTGCAAATTTAGACCTGTACTCGGCACTTACGGCCTTGAGCAGCGAGGGACTTTTTATGTGCCAGCACCCTCTGCAACATTGGACCTTGGTTTATATGGTCTCATCCGAAGGACAGGTCTCCATGTCCCGTAGTGGGATTCGAACCCGCGACGTAAAGACAAACTCCTTTTCTCCACGACTTTAGAACAAACGGCATTTGAACCGCTCTAACCACTGCATTACGCGGGCGACTTGATTACACTGTACTGTAAAGGCGTGCTAGAAGAATAATTTATGAAAGAAGACAAATAAAAATATCCCTGGACCTGGGGTATATATTCGAGGTGTGGGAGTGGAGTGGTTCTGTCTTCAAGTACCTGTGGTTACACACTTAATAAAGGCCAGGTAGGAAATGGAAATGTGCATTTGTAGTTTGCTCAGACAGGCGTGGATCCAGGAATTTTTTCCGGGGGGGGGGGATCCCAGTCCAAAAAAAAAAAAAGAAATCCCATCCCAATTTGTCATATACTGCTTGACAATTGAAGTTGGTAGTACCAAATGGTAAACTTTCCAACCTTTTGTATAAGACTATAATTGGTAATTCACTGCGCTGTTTGTTTTTCAATCATTAATAGTGGCGGTAATTTTTAGGTGAAATACGCATTTTTTACGAATGGAAAAGAGGTTGCCTATATTATCTTTGACGGCCGTGACACAGACAAAAATGGCTGGTACAATGATAACCGTATTCTATATTCAAGATGGACGGATATTATTGGCTACACCAAAGTAGGATCATCCATTGATGGGTAAGTCTGCAATATTAAAGACTATATTTTAAAAGATGGCAGGAACTGTGCTAAAAAAAGCAACAGATCTAATCATAAATCTACTAAAATCAGGGGACTTGTAATGCTTCTATATTTCTTGAAAAAACTTTGTGTCGCTTCGGATATATACACACAATTTTGCGTTTTGAAATAAAGTGAAACACCATATACGTTTCCTTTCAAATACCACAAAAACTAACAATTTACAATTATATGTACAAATGAAATGTGAAGATAGCGAACAATTTTCATTCTCAAAAGTCCATTTAAACAATACAGATTATGAGCAGGGCCAACATGGACCTCTGAAAACAGAGGTGGGATCATGTGCCATGGAGAATTAAGTATACATTTGTGCATTAGATAATCAGGTAATAGTATCTGATACCTGTAAAGATCTGCTTCATACACACGAGAGGGGGTGGGGTTAATATTATCTTTCTCGACTTGATAATTTATATATTCTTTTATGAAGTATATGGATACTGGTACGAGGGAAGCAATTTCAGTTTGAGGGCAACCAATCAGAAAGACAAACATTATTAAGGGAGCACAACTGTAAAAAATTAAGCGTTGGTTTTCTATTAAATACATGTAGACATACTTGCAAAAACTTGGGGATTAGGCACAACCCGCCTGCTCCTGCTATAGGCTTTGTTACACATGTGTTATAATGTAATTAGTTCGAGTGAGCTCAGTTTACATAAAATTTATTTAGTGACGGTACCAGACGTTTTTGTGTGTGGAAAGAACATGGAGGTTGTCCGAACGATAAAGCCTGGATGGCCATTCTGGACTCATCGGACTCATCCCAACCATGCTCATGGGACAAAAACGTTCAAAGTCGACCATATTTCTTGTACAGCAAGAAATCCACTTGGGCTCTTTGTGAATCTAGTGAGTTGATATTAGAAGGAGGATGGAATTTTTTGGATTGTTTCGTTGTATATTTAAAATTATTGCATGAGTAAATCATTAATTTTGTTTTCATAATCATAATTGAACAAACAAAAAAAATTTCATTTTATAATTTAATTATAATCTCCTGGATGAGGGGGTATATTGGAATCACTATGTCTATCTGCCTGTCTGTTTTAATTTCTAATTTGGACATACCTTTGAAATCAATGAACTTGAGAGGCATATATTTGAAACAAAGGTACATAAGTTTATGACTTGTCACCAGGGGTGTGTCATGAGCATTCCTGGACAAAATTTTCCTCTGTGAATGACAGTAAATATTTTTGTACTATGACATTTGAATGCTCGGACTGTAAACGGTTATATTTTTGTTACTAACACAAAATTGCTCACCATTAAAGGTGTCACCACCTTTTAACTAATCACATTTCAAAAAAATTAAGGCAAAGGGAATATGCGCTATTATTTTCATCAAAATTTTATTTTTATAGCTATTTAAAAGTATTCTCCTTCTTTAGTTGCCTAAACGGGGGGAAGGGATGAGGAGGGGGTATAAGTTTTACTAGTATTAAATATATAGCGGGATTCTGCTTACTGATCATCTTTTTCAGACAATGCATGGAATAGTGCCGATTTCCCTGCAGCAGAGACAGCTGCCATCTTTATCAAAGGTAAACATATTTTTAACACAGAAAGAAAAACATGATATCTCTTGTAATCTCTTGCAAATATGGAACGCTTTGAAGGTCTAATAACATGAATAAATCATTATGTAACCCTGGTTCTAGTTATTTCAAAATTTTGCATTGTTTATAATTATTTGTAATACACTGTAAAAAAATAAGGAAGTACAAGTTCACGTAGAAACACTGATATATAACACGAATAAAATGCTTTTAAACAACTTTGACTTCAGGTTGGAGGATGGTAATGAAAGTCGCGCATGCCCAATCCCTCTCTCCTGCTAACGGTGTGTACAACCTATGGGCAGGCACCTACACTGTTAATGAATTTGACACAAATGCCCTGACCATTGCCGCCGGAACGAAAACGTACAAATCTAGCGTGGTGGATAACTGGTCAAACTACCATATATCGGCTGTAAGTGAGCTTTAATGAGATTTTTCTGGGTTTTTTTTAAACGTTGAATATAATGATTTCTTTGAAGTAGGGATCAGCTGGTAAAACAATTCATATTTTATATATTTCTCTTGTATGTAAAAAGATATCTTTTGAATTGAAGATTACTTTATAAGGGTCACAAGAAAATAAGACTGGATATGTTATAATTCAAATTTAAAAAGTCGTAATAATACGAGGTGAAAAGGCATAGTGATTGATAATAACACATAAAGGCATTACAATGTATAACGCAAAGTTAAATGGTGTAATAACTCGAAGAGAAATTGCTTTTATCAAAAAGGATTAATAACGCGAAATAACAAAGCGTATTTATTAACGCTAGTCGAAAGGTAGCACCTTTTAATTAAACAAGTCCTTTATCGATTCCCCGAACGGAATACATATGCATCTTTTTACTTCGCTATATTATGCCTTTGTGAAGGGCACAATTACATTTTTTTTAAATTTCTTGTTATATCGCTTAGTAAAAGGCAAGAAAAAATAAATAAGTAAATAGAAAAAATTAAGACATAAAAAAAAATATATATATAAAGAAATAAAATAAAATAAGGCCAACTTTAAAATAATGTTTGCTTGCCCTCTCCCGTCCCAGGATGAAAAATATGGGTCGGTAGGTAGGTGGGAAATTTTTATGCCCCCGGATCGAAAGATATGGGGGTATATTGTTTTTATCCTGTCTGTCTGTTTGTCTGTCTGTCTGTTGTCAACTTTAACCTTGCCCATAACTTTTGATTGGTTGGAGCTATGACTTTCATATTTCACATGGGTATTCCTTGTGACTAGACCTTTCTTTGGGTACCATCATATTTGACCTTTTTACCTTGACCTTGGAGTTTGACCCACTTTTGCAAAATGTTATGAGACTTCAACCTTGGCCATACCCTAACAAAAATACTATAGTAAACTATAGTTAACTATATAACCAAAGTAAAAACTTTGGAACTTTGATTTACTATAGTGAAAACTTTGGAACTTTGATTTACTATAGTGAAAACTTTGGAACTTTGATTTACTATAGTGAAAACTTTGAAACTTTGATTAACTATAGTGAAAACTTTGGAACTTTGATTTACTATAGTAAAAACTTTGAAACTTTGATTAAGTACGATAAATCCCGTGGAATTATGTTTTTGATTCCCACACTTTACATCTTACGATATTTCAAGTTTAAGATTCATAAAAGCTTTAGAGAACATTTTGAAAACCCGATCCCTTCCCTAAAAGAATAATGTACAAGATATGAATTTTAATGTAAAGGTTGTCGCTTGCGCCGATGAATAAGCAATATTTATTTCAATGTATTTAATTTTAATGTTATGCAGATGTAACGTAAGTCTTATTTATGGAGAAAAAATATTATATTATAAAAAAAATTGTGTCATTTAGAATTAAAATATCTACTTCATCAACTTCAGTCAACATGAATTTTTTTTAATTTATAAATGTAAATATTGCATTTGAATCAATTACTTTGTATATTTAAATAAAGATGTACAGCAAAAATCAGCCCCAACCAACCTCGTAAATTCCCCCTCCCCCAAAACGGCTAAATAATCAAAAAAAAAAAAAAAATAAAAATACATAAGTTGTTAAACTAATGAAAAAACTTTGAAACTTTGATTAAGTACCGGGGGTATAGGGAAAACTTTAAAACTTTAATTAACTATAGTAAAAACTTTGGAACTTTGACTTACTATAGTGAAAACTTTGGAACTTTGATTTACTATAGTAAAAACTTTGGAACTTTGATTTACTATAGTGAAAACTTTGGAACTTTGATTTACTATAGTTAACTATATAGTAAACTATAGTTAACTATAGTATTTTTTGTTAGGGTAACTTCTGAACAGTGGTGCTTGGGGTTTCAAACTTCACATGTGTATTCTTTGTGACAAGGCCTTCCTTTGGATACCAACAACTTTGACCTTTTGACCTTGACCTTAGTGTTTGACCTACTTTTGAAAAACTTTAACCTTGGCCATAACTTTTGAACAGTTGGTGCTTGGGGTTTCAAACTTCACATGTGTATTCCTTGTGACAAGACCTTCCTTCGGATACCAACAACTTTGACCTTGACCTTGACGTTTTACATACTTTTAAAAAAACTTTAACCTTCGCCATAACTTTTGAACAGTTGCGCTAGGGCTTTCAAATTTCACCGGTATATTCCTCGAGAGAAGACCTTTCTTTGGGTACCAACATTTTTTTTTATCTTTTGGCCTGGATTTTGACTTGCATTTGAGAAACTTTGACCTTCGCCATAAGCTGTCATATTCGGGCATCAGTGTTTCACAAACACATCTTGTTGTTCTTAGAAAATTTCAACATCAATTCTGAATTTTCAAAATTTATTTTCTGGAATGCATAAAAAAAATTAATTGCTTCCTGGAGATTAAAAAAAGTTTTGTGTCGGGCCATTTTTAGCCAGTCGGCCGGGAGAGGGCAACCAAACAAATTTCCGAAGATGGCCTAAAACATTTTTTTAATTGCTTTTGAACACCTTTTTTATGTGTAATAATTAACGCATAACGTAACGCCTTTTGATTTAGCAAGAGTTATTACGCTTTTTGCATTCAAACGCCTTTTTGCTTCGCGATAACACGTTTTTTTTCAAAGGTCTAATAAAGCCTTTTCATTTCGCATTATACTATACGCTAAATTAAGGGGTTTTTTGGGGTGGGGTGGGGTGGTATTATGCCTTTTCACTTTGACAAAAAACTCTTTTAACTTTTTTCTTTTCTTAAAGAGAAATTACTTGCATTTTTTGGTAAAATAACACACTCGGAAAAAAAGGTTTGTACTGTGTACGTACAAAGCGTTTATTGACATTCAATTCAGGTTCGAGTCAGCTACTATAAAGGTGGAAAAGAGACCGCCTACACTGTGTTTGACGCTCACGGTGTTAAAGATAAAAACAGCTGGTTCGACTGTTCCAGGATACTGTACACTGCGTATGATGACCTCAACCGATTGAAGGCAGTTTCCTACTGCGGAATTCCAGGGTAAGCTATTTCAGAAACCTCAAGAATTGAATCTAATAAAACCCACCCAACTTTCAAAACATATCATTTAAGGTCACCGAGTAAAGGACGCAAATAAAGTTCTTCATTTTTTCCCTTTAAATTCTATTCTGACATATCATGTATAAATATTCAGTCTATATTTCAATGTGTCCCGAAATTAGAAAACAGAATCGCATAATGTATGTACATGTATGAAAGGGAGAATGGATATAAGTATAGAGTTCTTTTCGTATTCATTACAGAGATTCAAGTCTCCAGAGACGATTTTTTATCCAGAACAACTATGGTGGTTGTAGTAACGATGCTGGTTGGTTCCTTGTTGTTGAAAAAGGAACTTGTGCTTGGGAACAGAGAACATCTCGTCCCTACTTTATTTACAGCGGGAAATCAGGACGCGACCTTCAAGACAGTATAGCCACATTCTTAAATTAAACAAATCTTTGTTTGTTATTGCGGGAATTAGTGGTTGCAATTATTGCAGAAAATACATAAAAGGCGTAATTGGGTTATAAACTTTTTTTCTGCAATGGTTTGACTTTCAACCGTTAATCCTGGATGACCAAACAGATGTTTTTATCGTATAATAATTATATGAAACAGGTTAAAGGACATATAATATTGTGTTAATGATATGTACGTCATGATATGTTTCATTGATGGAAGAGCCAACTGCTTAGGAAATTTGTCGTTCAGTTGGCTTTGAAAAACCGGTACTAACTATAGTTTAGAGTTAATAAATATTCAGTGGATGTACTAGTACTAGAATTTTATCACAAAGATTGCATTAAAAAATTCATGAATTTGAATTTTGTTCATTTAATTGCAAAGCATATTATTTAAAAGCTTGAATTATCTACAGAAAATGCTGTTTTAGATTGATTGAGTGATTGTATGTTGTTTTACGTCCCATTCGAGATGCTATTTTGGAAGAATGGTACGAAATGGATGTTGTTTTGTTTTCCTCATGAATTCATTGTGTTTACATATGGTCTATTAATTTCAGATTTTGTCATCGCCGACGTCTTTTTGATATCTGTTGGTAAGCAGTTTTTCTTCTCAGTACATTTTGTTCTTAATTGCATTTTCCATTCATGGAATTTTACTGATTTCAACAAATAAAACATTTCACTTTGGCAGTTATGGACAACTGTTTCCCAAATCCATGTCAGAACGGTGGCACGTGCTATGAGGAGGGAATGGATTACACCTGCACGTGCAGCGGAAACTGGTTCGGACAGCGATGTACCGATTGTAAGTATCAATAATTAAAAAACTATATAATAACAACTCAGATTCTCATCTTTTCACCGTTTAAGACAAATATTAACATGCAGTTGCATGCACTTGAGAAGGTAGATGTTAGATTCAATGATTTTCCATGCAAATCTAACTGCAAGTCAAAAAAGGAGAATTTAACTATATTCTGCTCATTTCTAATACAAACTATTTATTACAATGACAAAGAAAACTAGTATTAATTGTAACGGGGACCGTTACAGATGTTCCCCAAACGCTCCCCAACTTCCTTTTGGTGTCTTATTCCCTGTAAGCTTCATTAAATAAGGCAATCAAGGATATTGGTTTTTTTACGCATTACACGCTCGCGCACGGGCATGCATGTACAAAATGACCATGTCAACTTGTCAACACTTTTAATACATCTTTATATTCAAATTTCATCAAAAGATAAAAAAAATTCGGTTATATTAAGAATATCTGTTATTTTACGCATTGCAAGCGCGCGCACGTGCATGCAAGTCCATGATGACCGTGTCATCTTGTATACACTATTAATATATACTTATATTCTGAGTATCAAAGTATTTCATCAAAAGATATGAAACTTTTGGTTATATCAAGTATATTGGTCATTCTACTAATTGCACGCGCACGCACGTGCATGCAAGTGCATGCATGTTTGCGCTGATCATGTCAACTTGTGTACACTTCTAATATATATTTATATTCAGAGTTTCAAAGCAATTCATCAAAAAATGTACAAGTTAAGTCTATATCATTTGTATTGGTTATTTCAATCATTCCACATGCGCACATGTGCATGCATGTGCATTCTGACATGTCATCTTGTCTACACTATTAATATATCTTGATATCCTGAGTATCAAAGCATTTCATCAAAAGATATGAAAGTTATGGCTATATCAAGTATATCTGTCATTTTTCTCATTGCACGCGTATGCACCTGCACGCACGTGCATGAATGTGTGCGCTGATCAAGTCTTCTTGTCTACACTTCTAATATATATTTATATTCTGAGTTTCAAAGCAATTCATCAAAAAATGTACAAGTTAAGTCTATATCAATTGTATTTGTTATTTCAATTAATGCGCATGCGCGCACGTGCATGCATGCGCATTCTGACCATGTCGTCTTGTCTACACTATTAATATATCCTTATATTCTGAGTATCAAAGTATTTCATTAAAAGATATGAAAGTTATAGCTATATCAAGTATATTGGTCATTTCACTCATTGCACGGGCATGCACGTGCATGAACGTGCGCGCAAAATGACCTTCGTTCCGCAAATCTACATAACATTCCTATTAACCCTAAAAAGGTTTCACCTCAGTCGGATGTGTAGTTTCGGAGATCACTCACGGACAAAAAAGTACCCAAGAAGAAAAATAATAATAACTAGAAACTCATTGCGAGCAATGAGAGGTCTTCCGTCCGATTTTGAAAGCAAAAACGTAAATTCAAGCTGAAAAGGTGATAAAAGAAATTCAGACAATCTGGAGATTTAACCCTGGTTGTCAGGGTGAAAATCCAACGTGCTAATCATTAACCATTCACTTTTTTGCATCACTTCCTGTCACGACCGGAAGTAACGGCGATACAAGATTTCCTCGCGATTCAAATAAACTGATGACTGACTATCAGTTCTGAAAGTTTTAGACTTCAGTCGTTTACTGTTGCCGAGCAATATTGTGAGAACAAATTCTAATTCCGAGGACAGGTAAACATGCGACCGGAAGTGAATTTTATAAAAAAAAATCTCTGACGTTTCTCTGTACATTTGCAGTATCTACAAAATGCATCAAAACATTTCAAGTACTTTATCGATAAGCAATATTTATGAGAAAGTTAAATATCGAAGTAACGTAGTTTATCACCTAAAACCGGAAGTTGACGTTTTTGTTTCCGGTGCAATCTAACATGTTTCAAAACAGCGAAAGAGATGCAATAAAGTGATGCAAACTTTAATTTAAAAAAGAAAAATTAAAATTTTTGATTTCTTTGATCACTTCCTGTGACAACCGGAAGTGACGACTGAAGCGTTTAACCAAAATGGTTTTGCCTACTCCTCAAGGTCTGTTACTCGTAAAAATTTGGTGTTTTAATCTTTTACCTGTCTTGAGATTTCGCTCATACAATTTCTCATTTTGAGGACAGAAAAAAAACGCAACCGGAAGTGAATTTTTGAAAGATATTTGAGGTTACTCTAGACATTTGCAGTCTGAATAACATACCTAAAATTCATTTCAAATACTTTATCTATGAAGAATATTTGTTGGAAAGTAAAATACTCAAATTATTTAGTTTTTCTCTTATAACCGGAAGTTGTCGTTTTTGTTTCCGGTGGGACCAACATCTTTCGAATCTGCGAAAAAGATGCAATAAAGTGATGCAATTATTAAATAAAAAAAGAAAAGTTGAAATTTTCGATTTCTTTGATCACTTCCTGTGACGACCGGAACTGACGGCTGACGCTCTGAACCCAAGTGGTTTTTGATACATCTTAAGGTCTGTTGCTCATATAAGTCTGGTGTCTTAATCTCTTACCGTTTCCGAGATCTTGCTCAGACAACTTCTCATTTTTAGGACAGAAAAACACGCGACCGGAAGTGAATTTTTGAAAGATATTTGAGGTAACTCTAGACATTTGCTGTCTGAATAACATATTTAAAATTCATTCCAAATACTTTATCTACAATAGATATTAATGGGAAAGAAAAATACTCAAATTATGTAGTTTTTCTCTTATAACCGGAAGTTGACGTATTTGTTTCCGGTGGGACCGACATATTTCAAAACTACAAAAGAGATGCAATAAAGTGATGTAATAATTGATTTAAAAAAGGAAAGTTGAAATTTAACGATTTCTTTGATCACTTCCGTAAGCGACCGGAAGTGCCGACGACAGACGAAAAGGTGCCCTCTCCAATCTAAAAATCATGTTCTATCATCTCTAACAAGTCTCCAGTTAATATCTTAAGCCATTCTTGAGAACACTCGCGGACAAAATTGCATTTTAAAATCAGAAAATTGTCCATAACTTGGCACTGGAACCGAGTTTACCAAAAAACGGAATTTTATATAAAATTCATATGACCTTTTATCCCTGAAAATTTCAAGGAAATTCATTGAATAGTTTTCGAGAAATCGCGTGCACAAAATTTTGTCTAAAAAAAAAAAGAATAATAATAATAATAATAATAATAAGAAACAATAGAATCACTATAAGATCTTCCGTGGAGACGGAAGACCTTAACTAGACGAGCTTGTTGCAAACCAACAAATAAGTCTTCCGTCTAAATTTCAAGGAGATGAGATCGAGATCGAGAGACATCTACGGTCATTTGAGCAAGAATGAGCCATTTACCATTACTTCCGGTGTGACCGGAAGTGACGTCATTTTGACGGCTTTTGATGATCTCCTTAGCTGCTACTTGTCATTTTGAACAACTTTGCTTCTATGATAGTATACAAATTCTCAATACTTTTTGAGATATCAGGAAAACAATTTTGGCCCCTCTAGCTCCCTAATTTTAAGGGCCAGCCCCTTATTGTTGATATCCTTTGAAAGATCGTAACATTCTACACAACTTTTTTTCTATATGTTTTAACAAAATATTTACAGGTAAAAAGATATTGTAGAAAAGGTGTTAGAAATTTTAAAAATCCCGATAGGACATTTTTCGGGCCATAGCGAGCGCCGACGTGCGGCACTTCCGGGGAAAGAGAAATGCGTATGTCACATCTACACATAATGCTCTAGCATCGCTGAAAAATTTCATGCTTCTACCTGGAAGCGCTTTTGAGGAAACTGCCGGACAAAGTGACCCTCCGAAAATCACTAAAACGCGGAAAGCTCGGAACCGGAAGTGACGTCATCAAAACAAAAAAATTTATATCTAGATTTTTTGATGTTCTATCAGACCTGTAAGTTTCATGAAAATCGAGCGAGCCGTTTCCGAGAACTCGCTTGCACAAAATCGGTAAGAAAAAAAAACAATAATAATAATAATAAAAATAGTGGGAAAGAAACCTAAGAATAACAAGAAGGTCTTCCGCTGAAGACGGAAGACCTTAACTAGATACTTATTGCCTAAGCAATAACAGGTCTTCCGTTTTCTTGACTTCTTTGAAAAAAAACTCACAATCATCTCAATAAGATTACTCAAAATAATAACAAAAGTTATCTCACGGCTTCCAAAGATATGTAGATACAGATCAAAACAAACGGAATTACTTTTCTGTTTTCTTTATGTACTTCATCATGAACGAAAGTGCTCCAAACGAATAAAATGTATAAAAATAATTTGCATGGTCATGGTCTATCTAACATCTGCATTAGCCAAACATTTCTGCAAAAAGAAAAAAAACTTTAAAAATTCACTTTTTTGCATCGCTTCCTGTCACGACCGGAAGTGACGACATCGTACGATTTTTACATGATGTAGATAAACTGGTAACTAACTATAAGTTCTGAAAGTTTTTGACTTCAGTCATGTAGTGTTTTTGAGCATTTAGGTGAACAAAATCTCAACTTGAGGACAGAAAAACACGCGACCGGAAGTGCATTTTCCTAAGATGGTTGACTTCACACTAGAAAATTGCAGTCTCAATAACATATGTAAAAATCATTTCAAAAACTTTATCAATAAGTGATATTTTTGGGAATTTTAAAAATCCCAATAACATAGTTTCTCTCTTATAACCGGAAAGTGTCGTTTTTTGTTTCCAGTGAGACCAACAAATATATAAACTGTGAAAGAGATTCAATTATATGATGCAAGTTTTATTTCAAAAGTGAAAAGTTTAAATTTTCGATTTCTTTGATCACTTCCTGTAACGACCGGAAGTGACGGCTGACGCTATTTACGCAAAGGGTTTTGCCTACTCATTAAGTTCTATCACTCATATAAGTTTGGTGTCTTAATCTCTTACCGTTTCTGAGATCTCACTTTGACAAGTTCTTATTTTGCGGACAGTAAAACATGCG